TTGTGATAAAATAGGAAAATGAACAAATACAGGACTTGTGTTGGTTGTAAATGTAATCTTCCCAATTACTATGGAAGCCCTAAATATGTTCTGGTGTAAACAATTGCCTTGAGAAGTCACATCATTAGTTAAATGGAATCCACCTTTGTGCAATTAAATTGCCACATGTTCTCAAACTAATTTTAAGAAGACCTCAGCATTTCTAAACAAGAAGCACCACAAAGATCAAAGAATTATCAAAATAAGTCTGAGATAACATTTTGGAGAAGCACCAGTCAAGGTTGTGTTATAAAAAATATCCTAAACTTTGAACATCTCTGGAACACCATTACATTTCTTATTGTATTTAATGAATATAGTACAATCATGACTTTGCCTAGTGAAGGTAGTCCACAAAATTCCCATTGGACAATGAGAATCTGGATTCTTTACAAAATTAGGCCTTCCTAAAATCTGTTCAGGATTAAAACTAAATTAGACAACAATAAAACAACACCTTAAACTATGCATAATGGAATTTTAAACATGATACTTTTATTCCTTCATTTAAATTCAAGGCTGGGACAATATAGCAGGGGTACGGCACAGGCAATTACGCCTTTTGGGCAGCATTCAGACTCTTTTTTTTTTTCTTTTAATGCTTTTTTTGTGTTCATACTCATGTTTTTGTATTCTTTAGTTTGCCTGTGTACAACCAGCTCAGCTGAGTAATTTTCCATTTTGTCAAGTTGCCTGAATTCAGTGAACATGCATGTTAATTTGATAATGTGAGTCTTTCGTACCTTGACATAGGCACGTTCTTAACTTGTTGCTAGTTTTATGTTACTCTTTTTGGAATTTTAGATTTCCAGTAACTTTAAACATCCCCATGGTGGATATAAAATCATGGTGTGGGGATTCTTATCATCAACAGGGACTGTGAAAACTGACAGTAAAACTGGGCTGGATTGAGGGCAATATATCTACATTGAAATTCTAGAAGAAAACCAGTTCAGTGCTGCAAGACACCTGATACTGTTCTGCTCTGATCCAACAAATAGGTCACTTTTATCTACAGGGTACAATACAGTTTAATGCAGAGCCTTAGTATGGTTGTACGTAATGCAATTACAAACAGAAGTAACATAATGAAAGTCAAGAAATAGTGAATGTCTGAAGAGCCATAAAGTCACAATATTAAAGAGTCTAACAAGGCTGATGAATATAAATCAGGAGCAATGTGTTATGTGTAACTATATGCAACAAACTAGGACAAAAATCCTTCTTGACCCCAAAATGGCAGTGAGATATCTCCTTGAATCAAGAAGCTATTACTCCACTAATTAGAAGTTATGTCCCTGTATTATATGTTTGTGCAAGTATGTGACGAGACCAATCTCGCCACTGTGCATTGGAGGAGCCTGGTTGCCTGCCTGCTGCCTTTTGACTATGGACCGGCATTTAAATACTTTATTTTCCTATGCAGAAAGGTGTATTCATGTATTTCTGCCCGGGAGTTCGGTAGATTCTATCTACCGAACAAACAGCCGTCTATTGGCATCCCTGGAGCCGCGGTTAGCTGGTAGGTGCCGTTAATTGGCCGCCCAGAAGCCGGCGAGCACTGCCAATTAACCGCACAGAAGCCGCGGCTTAACCAGCGTGTGCCGTCAATTGACCACCCAGTAGCTGCGGTTAACCGCAGCTTAATTGATTATACCAGGTGGCCGCGGCTACGCATACTGAACACTGGATGGCAGCAGTCTGCAGTTCACACACGGCCGGTTCATTCACGGATTTACTGAATGAACTCATTTAACCCAGATAGCTATGCCATGGAGCCTATTCATGTAATAAAAGATTTTTTCTCCATGGCAATTGAACTATATGTGTGTGGTGTGAGCGCCATTCAGTAATAATGTGCACTCAGACCTAAGCTATCTGGGGATATGTTGCATGTCTGTATTTTATGTAATAAATGTTACTTTGTGTATTTTATTGTATTTTACTGCCATGTGCTTAATGGAGTATTGCCTCTGTCCTTGGAGATAATTGGATTAATTCCCAATTATCTCCAGGATAGAGAGGAGGGATTGTGATGTCATTGTGGGAGTGTTTATCTGTTTTGTATGTTTTGATTGGATGTTCCACAAAACCCTGTGGGTGGGACTTTGTCTGTAGAATGTGTATATAAGAACAATAAACCCATAGCTCTGTCTATTCCTGCTTGACCCTCAAAATTGAGTCTTTTCTTGTTCTTGGGGGGATTTATTGTATGCTGTTCCAGTTCGACTGCTAGGAGTGTAAACCTATTCGTATGGTTTTTCCTATTCGGCTATTTACAGCATTCGTATGTTTGAGAGCATTCGTATGCTTCTCCGGTTCGGCGGATTGGTGTAGCTGCCTGTATATCTGACAGTAGCTGCCTGTATATCTGGAAGGGAATATCTCCTAAACGGCTGTTAACCCCTTTTATGCCTGTGGGTGCCGTTACAAAGTATTTATCCAATTGCTGTTTAAACATTACCGCACTAATTAGAAGTTATATCCCTGTTATCAATGTTGTAGCCCATCTCTGCACTTTTTCTAGTGCTATAATATCCTCCTTTAGATTGGGTGCCTAAAATTGCACAGCATATTCAAGGTGTGGCATTATCAGCGATTTATAAAGAGGCAAAATTATATTTTCATCCCGAGAATGTATGCCCCTATTTATACATGACAAAACCTTACTGGCCTTAGCAACTGCTGATTGGCATTGCATATTGCTGACTAATTTGCTGTCTATAACAATTCCCAAATCCTCCTTGTGTGTTATTCCTAATTCACTACCATTTAGGGTATAAGTTGCTTGTGCATTCTTTACCCCAAAGTGCATAATATTGCATTTCTATACAGTAAATGTCATCTGCCATTTTAGTGCCCAGTTCCCAAATCTATATCCCTCTGCAGCACAGCAATATCTTGCTCACATATTATTACTTTACAGAGTTTTCTGTCATCTGCACACACAATGGATTTCAAGATTATTTATAAATATGTTAAATAGAAGCTGTCCCAAAACAGAACCCTGAGGAACACCACTTACCACTTTTTTCCAGCTTGAAAATGTGCCATTAATGACAACTTGTGGTACTCCAAGGATGTGCATAGAAAAAAATTTGGTTTAGTTTGGCTTGGAAATTCGGATAATAAAAAAAATGTAACACTTCGACGGTTCGGCACTTCCGAAATTTGTGACTTTGGCAATTTGTGACTTTGGAACTCGAAACATCTGTAGGGCTCCCTAAAACCTTCCTCTTCATCCCTTTCTTGTTTTGTCACTTTTCAGAAATCCAAAAGCACTTCAGCAATTCGGCACATCGGTTCGGTTTGGTTCGGCACTTCGGAAATTCGGCACTTTGGACATTCGTAAGCATCTGAATGTCCGAATTGTCTGAAATTCGTCCAAATTCACATTCGGAACGAAACGTATTGCACATGTCTACTGTACTCTATCCTTAATCCAATGTTCTACCCAAGAACAAGAATATTCATCTAGACCAATTTCTTTTAGTTTAATCTATTCTGAGGAAACGGGTGAAATGCCTTGACAAAATCCAAGTAGATCACATCCACTGTAACACCCTGATCTATACTTTTACTTACTTCTTCGTAGAATGCAATTAGGTTAGTTTGACATGACCTATGTTTCATAAAACCATTCTAATTATTGCTAATAAAGTTTTTCCCAATAAATTCCTGAATATGAACATCAGCTAAAACTAGAGCTGTCATGGGACAAAAATCTGGCCTGGGCATTTAACCCCTTAGTAACCTTGGACGTATCAGGTATGTCCAACAAAAAAAGGTCCTTAAGGACCGCAGACATACCTGATACGTCCACGGGGAATTAGAGCTGTTGAGGTATCGCTGCAATACCCCCTCACTGCCGGTGGATGCCGGAGAACACCGGGTGATTGCTCCCCCTGGAGCGATCACTTCTGGGTTGCTCCACTAGGAGCATGGCAGTGAGGCAGAGCATCGGAAGCCATTTAAATAAAAAAATTAACCCCTACCCTCCCTCCCTCTCCCATGTACTTACCGATCGCCGCCATTCCCCCGCCAGCGATCGGTCTTCTTCTTAGGGGGGACTGTCTGGGCTCAGCCCAAACAGTCCCCGCTCTCCAATTTAGGACCCCCAGGGCCATGTGACCGCTCTAAAAGAGCGGTCACATGGTCGCAATAGGTGTCCACAGTGCTGCCAGCAGGGGGACTGCCTGAACTGACAAGCAGTCCCCCTGCTGGTGAAAAAAGTTAAAACCAAGTTTAAAATAAGTTTAAAAAAAGCTAAAATAAAAACGTTAAAAAGAAATAAAGTTAATAAATGTAAATATATATATATATACACACACATATATAATATATAATATATATATATATAAAATCATACTAAGTGTGTTTTTTATTAATATATACATATATTAATTTAAAAATACACTAAGTAAAATTACACACACACACATACATATACATATATATATATATATATATATATATATATATATAAAACAAGAGGGGGTTGGCTGCACTCACCTTAACATGCATAAATGGGGGTGCTGCTGGGGGCCAAATAATACAATACACAAGATCCAGCACACTCACCTATCCACTAAACAGCAACTTCAATGTTGAAAGATTTTATTTGTTTTTTTTAAAACACCTAATCTAGGCAAAAATAATGGGGGTTTAGTTACATTATATGATCATACAGTGCATAAGCCTGCCACAACGTCAATGTACCCCATCTTTGGCAGGTCCTACACTAACAGCCTAATGTCTGCTCTTATGAGATTAACCTACTTGGGGAAAGAAATTCCATCTGGGGCTCTCTGCAGTACAAGGCTAAATAGGGCCCTGGGATGAGGCACCTGTGACAGGGAGGGGTGCAAAACCAAGGAGTTGGCTAGACTCCCAAATATATATAAAACAAGAGGGGGTTGGCTGCACTCACCTTAACATGCATAAATGGGGGTGCTGCTGGGGGCCAAATAATACAATACACAAGATCCAGCGCACTCACCTATCCACTAAACAGTGCTGTTTAGTGGATAGGTGAGTGCGCTGGATCTTGTGTATTGTATTATTTGGCCCCCAGCAGCACCCCCATTTATGCATGTTAAGGTGAGTGCTGTTTAGTGGATAGGTGAGTGCGCTGGATCTTGTGTATTGTATTATTTGGCCCCCAGCAGCACCCCCATTTATGCATGTTAAGGTGAGTGCAGCCAAACCCCTCTTGTTTTATATATATTTGGGAGTCTAGCCAGCTCCTTGGTTTTGCACCCCTCCCTGTCACAGGTGCCTCATCCCAGGGCCCTATTTAGCCTTGTACTGCAGAGAGCCCCAGATGGAATTTCTTTCCCCAAGTAGGTTAATCTCATAAGAGCAGACATTTGGCTGTTAGTGTAGGACCTGCCAAAGATGGGGAACATTGACGTTGTGGCAGGCTTATGCACTGTATGATCATATAATGTAACTAAACCCCCATTATTTTTGCCTAGATTAGGTGTTTTTAAAAAAAACAAATAAAATCTTTCAACATTGAAGTTGCTGTTTAGTGGATAGGTGAGTGCGCTGGATCTTGTGTATTGTGTATATATATATATATATATATATATATAATAACTATACATATTGTGTATATATATTTATATAGTATAAAAAATACATAATTAAAAATAAATAAAAATGTAAAAATAATTTTTAAAATTGTAATTTTATTCTAACTGTATTTTGATATTAATATATATATATCAAAATACACTTAAAATGAAATTATATATATATCTATGCATATCCCCTTAACGACCGTGGACATACTACGTATGTCCGACAAAAAAAAGGACGTTAAGGACTGCGGACGTACCTAGTAAAATAGGAGCCCTGGACCAGCGATCCACGGTGATCACGGTCGGGGGGACTGCCGGAGACCCTAGCAGTCCCCATGCAGCAGCTCCACCACCCCGGCCCTCCAGGGCCATGTGATCACCATGATCACATCGCCGCAATTGGAGTCTATGAGCTGCCAGCAGGGGGACTGTCTGAGCTGTCAGGCAGTCCCCCAGGCTGCTAAAAAGTAAATATATATATATATATATATATATATATATATATATATATTATACATATATATGTATAATATATTTTAAAATAATTAAAGCATTTTATAATATATTATACAGATATAATGCATATGTATGATTTCAAGTGTACTTTGAGATATATATTAGGGGTGCCCAAACGTTAGATCCCCAGATGTTGTAGAGTTACAACTCCCATGATGTTTTGCATGCATCTAGAATGCCAAAGCATCATGGAAGTTGTCGTTTTAAAACATATGGGGATCGATGGGGCGTGGCTAGCCGAGCTACAGTGTGGTCGCATCTTCACAGAACTCCTGCTCCATAGAGACATATAAAAGCCATTATACCACGAGAATACACATCTTGGCAGATAAACTACACCCTGGAGACCCCCCCAAAGAGAGATGGGGCGAAAACACAAAAAATTTGCCCAGACGGAGGGCACAAACCACGCGGACATCCGTCTCTCCTTTCACAGACCGCAATCACAGGCCCGACCCAATATGGCGCCTGCTGCACCGCGTGGCCCCAGTAAATCTGAGTCATCCCAAGACGAAGAGGGATGTCAAGCACTCCGCACCCAAGGCAAAGTCTACCGGAGGTCCGACTCCGATTCGGACGAATCCCCCGCCACTAAAGGGAACATCAAAAACCTCCTTCGGGATCTGCAGGAGGTCTGGAAGTCGGACCTGGCGGGAGTGCCCGAGGAAATTGGCGGCCTAAACCGCCGTATAAATGCGGTTGAAACCAGGGAGGAAGAGAGGGGAAAAACATTGGAGGACGCCACCTCCCGTATAGACTCACTTACCCAAGAAGTACTGCGCCTTTCCCACACGGTTACCTCCCTAGAGGCACGGCACAGACAGAGAAATATACGGATTCGTGGGGCCACGGGGGAAACAATAGGACAAGAGGCCCTGATTAACTTTACCCACAATATCCTACAAGCACTAGGGATCCAACACAAAGGCGAAACACTGCCCATATTGTCGGCCTTCAGAGTTCGGAAGGCTCCCGCGGCACCAGCAGACGCACCACGGGACATCATTACGGTTACCCGAGATGTCACCGTGAAGGCCTCCATTATGATGCAATCCAGGCAACAGACAAGCGTAATAGTCGCTAATAATAAGATCTCTGTATTTGATGACCTACCTTTCTCCGTGCTCCTCGACCGGCGCAAGTTCGCGCCCATCACCCGCATATTGCGAGACCGGGGTATCAAATACAGATGGGGCCATCGGGGACCCTGGTGGTGTCACATGGGGACACTGTACAAGTTCTGTCGGCATCTGAAGACCACGCAGACTTCCTGAAGGGACTCAGCTCACTAACACCACCTCCATGTGGACAACAGGCACCAGAGTCACAGAGGGCAGCGGCCACCAGTCTGAGACAGAGGCGAGATGCCGACCGACTGGCGACACACATCGTTCGGGGCGACAGGACCCCTCGTGAGGCCCACAGGACTGGAGGCTCCCCAGCAGAGGTGGAGTATGGGGGGGAACACTCTGGCACCCATGGCGGGACAAACTGAGCCGACAAATGGACTTACAATACTTTGGATAACCGTCAACACAAAACACAAGGACTGCCTTACAAGACTCACATGTACCTAACCAACCACCCAGTAAAACATTTATGAAGCTTCCCGGTGAGCTAGTATCGAGAATCATAGTGAGGGTCACCCGAGGGTCCCATGTGCAACGGGCATTCCACTAAACTGCCCCTTCTGAGTGCACACTACCAGGGAGAACCTAACATAGCGGCACCATGACATGCAGGTTACGTATCACTCACACAGACAGCTATGAAACACCCCTCCACCCCCCCAGTGACAAACAGGCCCACAGGGTTTTCTGGCCAAATGTACCAGGAGGCTAGAAGAGTGTAGGCATGGGGGGGCACAGTTCTAAGTTAGACGACCAGCGCCAACCCCAGCTATAACACCCTCACAGGGATATAGAAGACCCACTTACACGCTACAGGGGGAGAGGATAACCACCTCACTACCGCAGACGCCCCACAGTCACGACTGTGCCCACACCTGGGCTGCAAGACACAACTGATACTGACCACTCACCCCACTCAGACGCACTAGGGTACAACTCAGACACCCACTTCATGCACTGTAGTCTAATACCGCCACCCATGCTTACCCATAACGCTTCCCGCTCCCCACACACCAAACAGAGACGAGCAAATTGCTGGGACTCTCTCAGAGCCTCGCTGCCACCCCATGCATACCATTAGTCACGGGGATGCCGGTCACACAAAGCTACTCTACCACGACTTACCATACTTCGTTATCACCTATAAAGTTCTACTATGTTACATTATGCTTAACTACGTTTACAAGATATTACTATCCTAATTCAACAAACCAAAAGAACAGTCTACATAGACAGCCGCTAGAGGCGCTTCTGCAACACTGGATGCGAAATTCGCATCCAGCATGCAGAATGTCCATAGGAAAGCATTGAGAATTGCGCATGCGCATTCTGCTCCACTCGGGAGCTGACGTCAGAGGGGGAGGAGAGGTCACCAGCGCCGAGGGAGCCCAGCGCTGGATTAAGGTAAGTGGCTGAAGGGATTTTAGCCCCTTCAGCGCCGAGGGAGGGGGACCCTGATGGTGGGGGAGGTCCTAAGGATGCTATAGTGTTAGGAAAACGAGTTTGTTTTCCTGACACTATAGTGATTCTTTAAGTATGTCTTTTGTGCCTTGCCTTGGATAGCCATGGTTGGAATGACAGGTATTGGCCATAAAGATGAACAAAAAGAGAGTAGAACAGAAAGGTAACAGCCCAGTTCAGGGTCGCTATTTGTGGGGCCTGGGATTACTGATCGCTGCTTGGGTACTCTCGTACTCTCTGGGGTAAGGGATTCTGTTTACTGAACAAGGGGGCATGATCCCGCCCTCGCCCAGCTTCCTCCTCCCCTGACCCCTCATTCCTCCACTCTCAAGAGCCCCTAATCCTCATGACAGCTGATTCTTTATAAATGCTATTAATAATAATAATAATAACAACACAATAGAAATTGTAATTTGGATTTTGCATATGTATTGCAAGGTGTGGAATTTCTGTCTAAACTAAAAAAACAACTTGTACTCAGTATGTTCTAATTCAGTTAACTTCTTACTTGAATGTAAATGAACTAAACTGCTTTATCTGCTTTGGAGATTATCCCATTATTATTCTTACTGCAAGAATGTTTCTTTTTACCTTATAGATTGCTATGTAAGGTTGCCACCTAGTGTTCTTATCTCAGAACTACCTTATCAAATCCCATTGGTACTCTTGTGAAAAATATGAGACATTATTTACCAAGATGGTCTACTTGCAAATCTCCCATTGACAATAGTCAATATTTATGTCCCTTCAGTACATGACGGCAAGTTTTATTCTAAATTGCCATTAAAATTAGATGACATTCCCTCAACACAATTGGTCTATTTCCACAATGAACCCCTAACTTGACATTACAAACATCTCCACCAGTTAGTTGACAGTCAAAGTTGAGTTCCTGGTGATGTCTTAATCTGACAAATAGAAACTATACTTTTTTTCCCTCTACACCAAAAGTATTTATACAAGGCTAGACTACATACTTGTACATCTTTGTATACTTTGCAGATCCATGAAATTATCATTTTCAGGCCATACCACAATTGAGATATTATTTCTCAATCTAGTCTCGAAACCCACTGCTCCTTCTTGGAGACTCCTTGCTATTGGACCCAGGAACCAGACTGCAGAATAAATCTGATCTACAGAAGCACTTTCACTTTAACACTTCCCCAGAGAAATCTCAAGTGATGGTTTGGGTTGCCTACAAGGCATACATTTGATGTAAATTCATTACCTAGCCTCTAAACACAAGAGAAGACCAAGAGAAGGTCCCAGTTAGGAACTCCAGGATCCAGGATAATTTCCACGTGATCAAGGCAACATAGTGGACAGACCAAAATATTTTTGTCTCTGCAAATAAACCAGGCACCATTCTGGCA